GTGAGTTTTAAGCCACCGGGTCCGGGACACGAACCACGGTCGACTACGTGGGAGTCCAGCGACATAGCCATTACGCTAACTGCTGGTTCCCATCACAAAATATTTTTAATATATACTTAAATTCCATATTGACATGCAACCTCGTCTTCAGACCTGTCAGAGAAGGTTCTTGGCAACATTATTTTTTTTTAATTATTTTATTTAACTTTATTTATTTGTTTGTTTTTAATTTGACCAGAAAGGGACAGAGTGAGAGGGAGAACGAGAGCAAGAGTGGGAGAGAGAGAGCAAGCAAGCTGTCAGGTTTGGGATTCAAATCTTTGAACCATGGTCAGCCATGTGGGAATCCAGCATCCTTAACCACCATGCCACCTGCTGGCCCCCTTGGCAACATTATCAATCCTTTTTCTGTAAATGAGTCTTCGTGGTCCTGTACTATTTTAATAGTAAGTGCAATACCTCTATGAGGAGGGAATCATGTACTCAGTAAATATTCACTTAAGAGGCTTATCATTCTGTGATAACATCTGGAAGAAAACAGACTCCAGAGACACCCATGCATTGCAGATCTGAAAGGAGTCTGTGTGAGTGTGGGGAGGGCCACAGTAACAAGTTACTAGGGCAACTCGAGGGCTGGTTTTTAAGCCCAGGGGTGATTTTGTTTGTTTCTTATTATAACTATTCATTTAACTTTGTCTTTTCCCATTGTAGTTATGATGAGATGGCTAGGTTTGACCTTCCTGCAGTGATAAACTTTATTTTGCAGAAAACGGGCCAGGAAAAGATCTATTATGTCGGCTATTCACAGGGCACCACCATGGGTAAGTTCAAAGGAGCGAAGGTTGGTATGCTCAGAACTGTGAGCACAGGGCACAAGCTCTGCTGCCCTCACTCTTCCCTCGGATCTGGCCTTTGCCTTTTCGGTTGCTTTAAGGGCTGAGGGAAATAGGGACTGAATGACGGAGGCCCATGGTGTGGCCAGAAGAACCAGGGCTTTGGAATCAGGCAGATGTGGATTCAAACATTGCCTCTGCCACCACTTAGATAAATATCTGTGGAAAATGATTTAACCTCCTAATCTTGGTTTCCTCATCTACAAGCTGGGAATAAGAACTGCCTCTCAGAGGTGTCAGAGGTGTTTGGACTGGTTGATCAGAAGATGTATACAAGCTCTGGGAAGGCGGGCATTTTGTCTAAGGCATACCCATAAGAGCAGTTGTGGCATGCAACCCAGGCTCGTTAAACGTGTGCAGAGCCAGCAGGTGGCGTGGTGGTTAGAGTGCTGGGTCCCACATGGCCAGCTCCGCAGTTCAAGTTCCAGACCTCACAGCTTGAAACACTTACCAGGCACATGTATGTGTGCCCAAAATTCTGAGAGGAGAATAGAAGGGAAGGGATTGCAGCATGACCATCTACCTTCAGGGGTGATTTCTCACTTTTCTTCTCTCTGTCTCTCTCTGACAAGTGCATGTGCCTGATGGCAAAAATCTTGGGGGAAAACAAAACAAAAATCCTACTCAATGACTGTAGCCGAGTTCCCTTTCTGCCATGTGTTAGGGAATCAACAAGCAGTTCAGAGGCATCATTCCATTAGGAATGAAAGAGAGTTTTGGGGTTTTGCTCAAGGCATGCTCTTTTCCTCTATTGCCAATGTCAGGAATTATGTGCTGGTGCCTCATTGCCCTCCACAGTTAATGGTATTCTATGTCAACCCATTCAAACAACAGAGATGACCTCTAAAACCTGTTATCCTACTCAAAGCACTGTGAATTCAGATCAGTAGTGCGGACCCCGTGGTCAGCTTTCAGTTAACTCAAAGGATGCTGGTTGTTGCCTTCATTCAATAATAGACCAGTGGAGTCTGCCATTGATTTCTGAACTTCTCAGAAGACAGACAGACAGACATCCAGTCACACTGGCCATGGACACTGACTTTCCAGGTGATTTAATTCTATAATGCAAAGGTTTTCAGTGATCATTAAAATGATCACCAAATCTCGAATTTGCCTTTTACTAAGCTCTTGTTGTCCACCAAATAGAACGGCCACTTTACTCCTCCCTGAAGTTCCTAAGGTTTAGGCTCTGTCCTCAAGAAAGTAAGAAAAATAAAATACTCATTCTGAGAAATTTCAAGAAAAATGATGTCATAATTGCAAGGGAATGTTGTTTGTGTAAGTTTGACATTTTCTAGAAAGCCAAATTGCTTAAATCCCTCTTGCAAGTTACTCAGCCCTAGTGAACACATCCTAAGGGAGGTGTTTGAGAACCACAGCAAAGCCAGTTAGCAAAAACTAAACTGTGTGTGGCCTGGAGCCCCTGTGCGCTGACTTTGTTTGTTTGTTGCTTTTTTGAGAGAGAGAGAAAAGAACCTTCCATAGGGTCCTAATGCCGCAATCCACTCTCAGCCCCGCCCCGCAAGCATGTGCATGCATACTGGTGTGTACGGGGACACCCTGGGATGCAAACCCAGAACCCTCTCATGTGGCTTCAGCGTCATTGAGTATTGCATTATAGCCGCTCATTGCAGTTAGCCAAGGATTTTATTATACAGCAGGTATGGGTGACCACACATGACTAACTTGATTCCAAAGGAGGGTAAACACCACAGAAGACTTGGCTGTCTTGTTTCATTCTCTCCTTTTTATTTATCTGTGTAAGTCAGCATGTTACTGTCTGTGTCTGTTGGAGAAAATGTAATTCACTGGAGCTTCCTAAGTACTAATTACACTGCCAGAGCCTCGTTTTCTGTAGAACCTTCCCAGCAATTGGTGATCACTACTCACTTAATGTTAGTCCAAAGTAAAACTGAATTGTGACAGGAGTCCTGATGGCTCAAAGACACAAGTTCAGTTGGCTCATTTTTACCTGGTGCCCTCTAGTGATGAAGAGTCTAACTTTTAATTAATTTATTTATTTTTATTTTTAAATTTTTTGTTTTGTTTTGCCTTTAAGTATACGTGTTTGCTGGAGACAGAAAGACACAATGAGAGGGAATGTGAAAAATCACCTCCTGGTGGGATGAACACATTGCAGTCTCTTATCCTCCATTCTCCTCCTGGGATCTTGGGCATAACACACATGCGCCTAGCATGATTTTGAAGCCCCTGGGTCCAGGACTCAAACTGTAGTCAGCCATGTGGGAGCCCAATGGCGTAAACCACTATGCCATCTGCCGGTCCCTCTCCTTTATTGTTTAATTATATTAACATGTTCTAGTGATACTAGCTCTCCCACGGTTTTCATAGAAAGAAAGTTAGGGTGTTATATGTCTTCTATTTTACAGTACCCAGGGGCCCTTTACACAAGTTTAAAATTATTCAGAGTGTATTTTTTTTTAAATATATTCAAATTGTTTGACTTGACATGAGACAAAGGTGTTCATGGAGCTGTTAATTTGGGGAGCTTAAAGTTTCTTTATAGAAACGGAAGTATTTCTGGGAAAAGTAACTAGGTTTCTCAGATATTAACAATAGTCTAATGTTTTTTTCTTTCTCTTTTTTTCTTTTTCTTTTTTTTTTTTTTGTTAGAGATTTTTGCACATGTGCTCACCAGAGAGACAGACAGACAGAAAGCAAGAAATCACTCCCCAGGGGTACATCCATGCTGCAATCCTTCTCTTCCATTCTCCTCTTGGGATTTTGGGCACAAAAGCACACATACCCAGAGTGTTTCAAGCCACTGGATCTATAACTCGAACCACAGTAATTTATGTGGGAGTCCAGCAATGGAACCATTATACCATCTGCTGGTCCAATAGTCTAATGTATTTTCAACCCATCCTCTTGACGGCACAGCTGGGAGTGAAAGAGGTGATTCTTGTACCTACCTTTATAGGTGCCAGGCAAGTCTAATCAGATGAAAGGCAAATTAGAGAAGGAATCAGTCTTCCTTAATAATGCTCACTTGGGAGGCAGCAGGTGGCGTGGATGTTAAGGCAGCTGGATCCCATATGGCTGGCTGCATGTTTCAAGTCTCACCTGGCACAAGTGCATGTGTGGCCAGAATCCCAAGAGAAGGATGGAGGAGAAAGGAAGAAAGGATTCCAGAATGGCCACTTCCTCTGGGGGTGCTTTCTCACTTTCCCTCTTTGTTTGTCTCTGGTGAGTAAACACACTCCATAGCAAAAATTGTTTATAAAGAAAAGGAAATCTCAGGGACCAGGAGGTGGTGTGGTGATTAAGGTGCTGGACACTCCGACGTGAGGGACCACGGTTCAAGTTTTGGACCTGGTGGCTCGCTTTCTCACTCTCTGTCTCTCTCTCTGTCTCTCTCTCTGTCTCTCTCCTCTGTGTGTGTGTGCGTGCACGCGTATGTCTGGTCAAATTAAAATAAATGAATGAATAAATAAAATTAAATAAATAATTATTTTTTTAAAAAAAGTTTTAAAAATAACAAAAGAAAAAGAAATTTCACTAGCCTTGTGGGAACTGAATGGAAATCATGTGATTCTAGCTTTTCTCTGTCCAACCTCCCTTCTCCACCTCTCAAACTGCAAACATTAGCCTAAACAGAGTGTGTAGGCTCTTTTGAAATAGACGCATAAGCCAGCACAGTGTCGCGACACTACTGCAATGTTCCGCCCTGCCAAAGCCATATGGGAAGGTCCGGGGTTTGTATCCTGAGTTCTCTCTGAACATGCTATGTGTATGTGTGCATGCCTGTGATCCCGGCTGGCTAAAGCTGAGAATGAATGGAAACTCTGTTGAGAGTGACTGTCTCTCTCACTCTCTCTCTCTCTCAGAAATAAACTTTAAAAACCAATAAGAAAGAGACATGGAGTATTTCAGATATAATTTTCTTGCCCTGGCTTTGTATAATAGTCCTTTTTTTATTATTATTATTTTAAGAGGGTTTTTTGTTTTTTGTTTTTGTTTTGTTTTGTTTTGTTATAGGGCATGTGCACTCATCAGAAAGACAGACAGAGACAGAGAGACAGAAAGTGAGAAATCACCTCCTGGGGGGATTGCCACGCCACAATCCCTTTCTCCTCCATTCTCCTCTTGGGATCTTGGGCATGCATGCACATGCACCCGGCATGAGTTTAAGCCACCAGGTCTGGGATGCGAACTCTGGTCAACTACATGGGAGTCCAGCGACATAGCCATTATGCTAACTGCTGATCCCAGTAGTCTTTCTCCTGACATCTTAACAGAGAGCATCCAAAAAAATTTATATACTGGGGGATTTGTGTCTCTATTCAATAAGTAAAGAAACTGAGAGGCACAGACTGGTTTAACCAGAGACCTTATGGCAGAAAAAAGAGTGAGTTCTTATTTGCCAATCTGTCTACTAGATTATGTTACAACTTGAATTCCAAAAAAGTTAAGGATCAAGCAAAACCAACAAAAATCCCACTATCCTCAGTGCCCATTCTTATAGAAAATATTTGTTATAAAATAAGACGATTCCTCTAATTCTCAATTTTTTACTATAAAATAGCTTTTTGTTGTTGCTAGGTTTTTGTAATAGGGTGTGTATGCTCTCCAGAGAGAAAAGAAACAAAGAGCGTGAAAGTCAGAAATCACCCACCATGGAAGATAACCATGCTTCAATTCTCTCTCCATTATCCTCTAGGGACACATGCCCTGTGTGATTTTCAAGCCACTGGGTCCAGGACTTGAACCATGGTTGACCATGTGTGAGTCCAGTGCCTTGACCACCATGCCTCCTGCTGGTCCTACAAAATAGACTTTTGTTTAAAAAAAAAAAACTCACAATATTCTGGTAATTAAATAAGGTAAGAATCATAAAGGCTTCCACCAAACTGTCTAGTATATAATTACCTCCCACTATATACATTTTCTCAAAGTCAGTTTTATTGTATTCAACAATTCAGTGAGACCCTTCTACTTGAAAGTACATATGCTAGGTGTCGCAGGAAACACAGAAGAGTTTGTGTTGTTGCTTTCTGGCAGAGAGTTTATAATCTCATAGGAGTTGAGACATAATCGCACATAAATATTAAAATAATTTGGTAAATGTGGAAATAGATATGTTATGAGTTTGGGGATATTCATAACCATGCTTGTATGTCTCTTCTCTCATAGGCTTTATTGCATTTTCTACCATGCCAGAGCTGGCTCAGAAAATCAAAATGTATTTTGCTTTAGCACCCATAGCCACTGTTAAATATGCAAAAAGCCCTGGGACTAAATTTTTGTTGCTGCCAGATATGATGATCAAGGTACGTGACCCCTCAAAAAATTCCTCGTTTACATAGAAAAGTCTTCCAACCCAATTTTATAAAGCATATTCTTTGTCATTAGGGTTTGCTTTTTTCGGTCTTGTAATGACTACTTTTTCACTTCATATTTTTTACAGGGATTGTTTGGCAAAAAAGAATTTCTGTACCAAACCAGATTTTTCAGACAACTTTTTATTTACCTTTGTGGCCAGGTGATCCTTGATCAGATTTGTAGCAATATCATGTTACTTCTGGGTGGATTCAACACCAACAACATGAACATGGTAAGTGGAGCCTAGGCATAGCCCAGTGTCCGAATGCAAAGCCTTGAGCCATTAGTCTCACCCCGGAGGTAGAGTTAATCCCAGTGAACACCAGAGAGATGATGTTCTCCCAGTAATCCATTTCTGTCCAGATGCTAAGGAAGTGAGAAAAACGCTTCAGCCTGAGCTGAGACAAGGTTAACAGGAGGACATTGCTAGCTTTAAAATCATAGATTAAAGGTGGAGGAGCTCTAAATGCAGCTTTACAGCAGTAAATAACAGATTGAAACACAGATTAGAACCTGGTAGTCAACAGAGAGAACCGCCATCACCATCGACCTCTTCTCTCCATGGGGTCCTTTGGGTTAGTGTAATAGATCAGTTCTTCAGTGGAAAGTCTGTGGTTTCATTTGACCTAGGCATAGCTGCCAGTTGATGAGTGCCATCGGTGGGCTCCCGGAAGCATGCTGTGAGATGCAGATTCATATGCAGAAGGATTCTGGGCTCTCCTCTTGGGATAAATCCTAGAGAAGGGAAGGAAGCAAGATTCAGTATATGAAAAGTCAAGCTATGATGCAGACTCAATGAGTGTCTCAGCTGGTTGACTAGGGATTTGTGAAGAAGGGTGACCTTGCAAAACTGTCGTAGGTTAGGGAGAGAAGCTGAGTCTTTATAGCCCCATGTCAACCACTCATGTAATGCAGACCACACTGGTAAGGGGCAAGACATTGGGCAAGGCATTCATCTCTCTACAACTCAGAGCAGGCTGACCATGGAGGGCTGTCTGCCAGCAGCTGGAAGAATATGTCTTTAATTCATGAACATTTTTCCTTCCTCTTTTCGTAAATCAGCAATTTGATTTAAAGCTAGTAGTTACAACTATTTCTTTTTTGTAACCAATTCCTATAAAGGACAGTGTCAGAGATATGATAGTCCCTACAACAATGCGGTTATGAAGTCAGGACTGACTTTCAAATCCAAAATACATGCTTTGGTTCTCGTTAAGGTGCACATTTTGTTAGTTATCCCATGTCCCATAAACCATTCATGCTTTGTTACAGAGCCGAGCAAATGTGTATGTTGCCCACAATCCTTCGGGAACATCTGTGCAAAATATTCTTCACTGGAGCCAGGTAAGACTGTTAAATCCGTGGTCTTTTCACATTTTGTCTAGCATAATCAAAAGATGCCCTTTTGGGGGGGCCTGCAGATGGCTTGGTAGTTAAAGGCACTGGACTCCCATATGGCTGACTGTAGTTCAAGTCCAAGACCTAGCAGCTTGCTTTCTCAATTTCTCTTTCTCTCTCTCTCCCTCCCTCCCTCCCTCCCTCCCTCTCCCCTTCTCTGGACAAATTAAAGTAAATAAATAAAGTTAAATAAAATAATTATTTTTTAAGAAAGCACCCAATATGGACACAGCATTTTAAAAAATAAAAAGATGCCCTTGTAACAGCCCAAGTTAAATAAAATAATTATTTTTTAGAAAACACCCATTATGCAAACAGCATTTTAAAAAATAAAAAGATGCCCTTGTAACAGCCCAGGGATTATTTGACATGGATCTGAGATAAAATGCAATGTAGTCTATGCTGTTCAACTGCGAGCATGATATAGCTCTTTGAAACTTTTCAGGAGATGGGAGGAAATGATAAGAGTGACCCAAGGACCTTCTTAGTGGTTTTGTTTTATTTTGTTTGCCACAGGGTGTGTACATTAGCCAGAAAGACAGAGGGAGAAGGAAAAAGCACCCCAAGTGGGACGTGGTCACACCACAGTTCTTTCTCTTCCATTTCTCCACCCTGTTGACATTTTGGGGATGCACCTACCTATACCTGGCATGTTTTGTAAGGGCTGGGACTCAGCTATATGAGATCTGACTCCTTTAACAACTAGGCCATGGTCTGGCCCATTTAGTGTGGATTAAGGGACCAGCAGATGGCAAAATGGTTACATCACTGGACTCCCATATAGTCAACCTTAGTTCAAGTCCCAGACCCAGTGGCTTGAAATTTACACCAGGCATGTGTGTATGCAGGTCCGGGATCCTCAGAGGTGAATGGAGGAAAGGGGATTGCAGCATGGCCATCCCCTCTGGGGGGAATGGGAATTTCTCGTTTTCTGTCTCTCTCTGTCTCTCTGGCAAGCACACATGCCCTATAGCAAAAATCTCTCTTAAAAAATAAGTGTCAGGGGACCAGTAGTTGGTGTGATGACTATGTCACTGGACTCCCATGTAGTTGATTGCAGTTCAAGTCCCAGACCTGGTGGCTTAAACTCACGCCGGGTGCATGTGCGTGCGTGCCCAAGATCCCGAGAGGAGAATGGAGGAGAAGGGATTGTGGCATGGTCATACCCCCTGAGAGATTATTTCTCACTTTGTGTCTCAGTCTCTGTCTGTCTTTCTGGCAAGCGCATGTGCCCTAATAGCAAAAACCTCTCCCAAAAAAGTATGGGTTAATATGGTCAAAGTGATACCATTCTCTGCTTCTAACCTCAAAGATGTGGCTAGAGAAGATTATGTTTCCACGTTGTCTTCTTCAGCAACTCCAGTAGCATGGTCAGGTAGACACAGAAATATGCTAGGGTGGGCCAGATTGCCCAAAGAGATTTTCATAGTTCTTTGTACTGCAAACTTCAACTGCAGTCACAAGAGAAAGTCATGTATCTGTGTGAACATGTGTGTGAAAGAGAAAGAGGGAGGTTGAGTACGTCATCAAAACTAAAGAAGAGAGGTCAGCAGGTATCTTGATAGTTAAGGTGCTAGACCTCCATATGGCCAACCCTGATTCGAGTTCCAGACTCAGTGGCTGGAAAATCATGGTACATGTGTGTATCCATGTGCATGCATGTGTGTGTCCATGTGTGTTTGTATGTGTATGTGTTCTGGAAATTCCAAGAGGGGCACAGAGGAGAAAGAATTGCAGCATGGCTATCCCCCAGGGGGTGATTTCTCACTTTCCCTCTCACTATCTCTCTGTCTATGTCCAGCGAACATATGTACTCTATAGCAAACCCTTCCACCCCCTCCCAAAAAAAAAAAACTAGAAAAGAAATTTAAGTTGGATTAAATTTGGTCACTGTTCCTGGATGACATCACATAGTCCCAGGGGGGGCACTTTCCCATGGCAGTCCACAGAGCTATACAGGAGACCCATCTACATTGATCACAAGGGGAATGCCCTTCCTAGAGTTGATAATGTGACAGTCAAGTATCTGCAGTCCATCTTTCCTGTGAAAAGAGCCTCAGTCTTCTCTTTCCACACCCCTGCAGATGATCACAACCCTGAGTGGAATACAGCCCCACCTTTGCTCTTTGCTTCCCTCACAATGGCAGACTTGGTGGCATGTTTTCATGACACCACCACTACCACCCTCATCTAGTGACCACACTGAGTAGCTTATATTCATGTCTCCCCTTAGGCAGTGAATTCCGGGGAACTCCGAGCATTCGATTGGGGAAGTGAAGCCAAAAACCTAGAGAAAGGTAATCAGGTAAGAAAATCCAATATTATGTGCTAAAACTATGCCTTTGGGACATGTGTGAGAGGAGAACTATAGTGACAACTTGTCCTAGGGATGAAAGTAAACATAAGAATGAAGAGCGTAGTCTGTGGATGATACTAGAAAGATTCTTTGAAGGTCAAAAACAAAAAAAATCAAATAAATTGGCATGATGAGGGTGAGGTTTCATGGCACAGGGAAAATAACACTAAACGGCAAGGGAGGTTTACTGTAGTCTTGCTTCTCTGCACTGTCAGTGTGTGTACTTGTGAGTAGTCCACTTCAATTCACCAGGCCTCAATTTATCTTTACAATAAATATTATTGGGTTAGATAATTCTTGAGAGTTCTCCCTGGTTGCACTTTTAATGAATCTGTGATTTGCCATTTAAAAATAACTTTCAAAATGTTAACACATTACATGTGAAATTATATAGTCAATGCTATGGAATAAACTTTAAAGCAAAAACGTGGAGAATCAGACTTGGATAGGTATATTCTTTTGAGCATAAAATCTCTAGAGGTTATTGGTTAGTATGTATGTGAAGGTAAATAAATATTTGCTGTACAAGCACAGCTGGATGGAGCTGATTGAACAGTCTAATCTTTGAGAGTCTCACATCATATCTTTAGATAGAGTATTCTAGCCTAGAATAGTTTTAACTTACCAGCATCTAATGGACTAGGTTGTAGAGAAAGTGATGTATGCAAAGTAGGAACCAGAATATCTAATGAAAGAGAAAATATGTAGAAAGGTGGCATAGAATCACAGAAACTTAGACCTAGATATGATATTTAGTTCAATCTTTTTACCTGTAAGGTGAGAAAAAAATATATTCCTAGCCCCATAGAATATTCCAACCATTCATATCTAAATGATGTTATAACTTCAAATTTTTAGAGAGCCACAAAGAGAAAGAAGGATACCTATGATTTAAGACCAAGCTCCCTCGTGGATTCTCTGAATAGGAAATGGGCCTCACCATTTCCTCACACTCAGGATGCTAATAAGTCTTAAGAGCTTAGGTTAACCCACTAATACTCTTAAATAAGGGAAGTTTCCAAGAATTGGGAATACACATACCTTTCTTTGTGTGATTTTGAGGTACAGAGGCAGAGAATGAAGGTTGGAACAGATACTTACACTTTGCTTCCCCTTGGTTGAAGTTACCCAAGTGCAATAGACCAATTTGCTGATTTCTCCCATGGTTTTGGAGATACATACAGTCAAGCTGGGCCTGCCCCAAGGGCTGCTTGAATCACATCAAATTTTTGAAATTCAGAATTCCTACCAAAAGGTTTATCCGCCTTCCTCTTAGAGTCTCTCAAATTCTTGACTCATGAGATGTTCGTGAAAATTTATTTTAAAAGACAAATACTTTTTTTTATTTACCAGAGAGCAGGTGCACTCACCAGAGACAGAGGGAAAGGGGGAGAGGTAATGCAAGAAAGCACCCTCCATGGGAAATAGTCATACCACAATCCTTTCTTCTCTCTCTCTCTCTCCCTCCTTTGGGGATTTTAGGCACACATGCACACACACACACACACACACACACACATACATACATACATACATACACACACACATGCCCAGCATGATTATCAAGTCACCAGGTCCAGGGCTCAAGCCATGCAATCAATCATGTGGGAGCCTTAACCACTATGCCACCAATTGGCCCAACAGAGACATTATTTTTAAAGGCAATTTGTTTGCCAAGTATGTAATAGTGAGAAAAAAATTAAACATAATTCAGTATCTAAAGTATAAGGCAATTTACATATCTTCTCATTTGACCTAATAAGCTATTGAAGACATTATCCCTGTTGCACAGATGAAGAAACTGAGGTTCAATAATGTTAAATAATTTTCCCTTAAATGAGGAGCTGGGACAGAAACCCTCAAATGTCCACCTTTTGCCAAACATGGCACCTTTATCATGTTCACTTGAAACATAAATTATGAGTTTGGAAGTCCACATGTCACCAAGAAGTTGAAACTATTCCTTTTTTCTAGCCAACTCCTATAAAGTACAAGGTCAGAGATATGACAGTTCCTACAGCAATGTGGTCGGGAGGTCAGGACTGGCTTTCAAATCCAGAAGATGTGAGAACACTGCTGTCTGAAGTGACCCACCTCATCTACCATAAGAATATTCCCGAATGGGCTCACGTGGATTTCATCTGGGGTTTGGATGCTCCTCACCGTGTGTACAATGAAATCATTCATCTGATGAAGCAGGAGGAGATCAACCATTCTCAGGGAATGTGTGAGCCCAGATCATGAAGTATTTGACACTAAAACATCTTATGAAAAACTTCATGGAAGGTGGGACTTGGGTCCATGAGAAGATTTTTAAATAGAATTTCCAGAGTTGGAAACCTATCACATCAGTAGAAGCCAAGGTGAAGAGATGGCAGAGCTGTGCTATATGTTCCTTCAGATTTCCTGCATTTGGCACTAAAATTTACATATATATACATATATACATATATATATGTATACACACACACACACACACACACACACACACATATATATATATATATATATATATATATACACACACACACACACACACACACACA